GCAGTGTCAGGACCTCAGATCAGGGTGAGACATGGTGCAATGAGGGTGGGAACAACCCCAAGGGAGGGAATGCAGAGGGCACCCCTGGAGCCATGCGGAGGCTGCCAACCACAGATCACCCCAGGGAAAAAGCCAAGGTGGAGAACTCCATGCAGAACACCCAGCAGAGAGGAAACCACAGCCCTAATGTGTGTAGGCATGTTACCAAAGGACGACACCGAGAGGGAGATTTCCAGAAGGGAGGGTGGTTCTGAGTGCTCCCATGTGCACCTAGCATCCCAGCACTAGGGAGCCTGAGGCAGGAGGATCACAGGCTGAAGCCCAACCTAGGCAACTTAGTAAGACCCTGCCTCCAAATAAAAAAACCTGGGGATGTAACTTGGGGACAGAGTGCTTGCTTAGCATGTAAGAGGCCCTGGGTTCTGTGCCCAGCACCACAAAAATAATAATTAAAAATGCTAACAAGTCCAAGAAGTGGAGGTGAACAATTGCAGAAATCAGGAGCTGGCCCTGGTGAGGAGCTGCAGGTGCAGCCAACTGCAGGGGGTGGGGAGCCACCTCTCAGCAGGCAGAGTGATGCTGGAGACAAAGACTGTGTTCAGAAGTGTCAGCACTGGAGAGAGGAGAGGTACATGGTCGGGAGAAGGAGCACTGTGCATGGAGCTCTGATCTTGGTGGTGGACAGTGGGGAAAGATGCAGGGAGGAGGGGTGGAAGAAGGACAGAGACCGAGGCCAATGGCCCAGGTGCCAGGACGTAGGGGACAGGGATGGAGAGCACAGGTGAGGGACTGACCCTCCCTCAGCCGGAGGAGTATAATGTGCGGAGGGCAGGGCTTGGAGGCTCTGTCATAGTCTCCACCTCACGATGGGGCCGAGGAGGCAGAAGGGTCTGGAGAGGTCCACAGGCCTCGGGTCTGCTCCTCGAGAGTCTGCAGGCCTGGTGCTGGCTGAGTTAGGCCGTAACCTTCCTAGCTTTCAGAGGAAGTTTCCTTGCCCAGTGCTGGGATTAGCTAGACCCACATTTCATGCTGTGCTGATATCTTCAGCCCTGGAGCTTTCCTGGCATCTGGAATTTCTGTGCTGCTCACAATTTATGTCATCCCTATGGCCCAAGGTCAGCAAAGCATCCATTCATCACAGCCAGGAGACCTGCAGGCGGGGCTATGGGGAGTAGCACTGAGGCTGGGCATCGTCCCTGCCCCTTGGACCACTCCAAGTCCACCTGCAGGCCTAGAGCTAGGATCAGGGAAACACACGAGGCTCCCACACTGCTGGGGAGCCCCTCATGCTGGGCAGCTTAATGCCTGGGGCACCCACTAGCTGGAGCAGCCACAGAGAGGGGCTGGATGGGAGACCTGGCAGTCTCAGTGTCCCCTGGTTCATGCAACTCTGCTTCCTCATCCAGAGCACAAGAGGAGGGCAGGTGGGGCTGTGTGTGTGGCACTTAGTTCTGGGGAGCAAACTCCATCGAACTGACCTCATCACAAGCCATAGGGACAGGACAGTGTGCAGAGTCAACCCATCCTTCTGCTACAGTTCCAGATTGGCGAGGGTCCAGGGGGCCAGGCAGTGCCCTGACTTGGGTAATGACATCCACTCAGCCTTCCTGTTTCCATATGAGCTCTCAATTCCTGGCACCTGTTCTAGAAGAGTGCTTGGGACACAGTACATAAGACCGAGTCAGGCATTTTCAGACCCATTTCACAGCTAAGGAAAACAGGACTGAGAGGAAAGTGATGACCCTGGGTTTGCAGCTGCTAGCCACAGGTCTGAGCCCTGCAGCCACAGGCTACCCTTCTTCCCCATGCTGTGCCACTGCTTGGCTTGTCCAGGTGTCCAGGGCTCTGGGAAGAGGCAGAGAGGAGCCAGGCAAAGCAGGAACCCAGGTCCATCTTGGTGACCCAGGCCTGGAGTAGCTGTCTCCTGGGAGCACTGTTCCCGGACCACAGACATCGAAAATCACAGATTCTAGGTGTGAAAGAGCCACTCGGCACTTGGGGACCCGTCCATGGGGTCCTCCTCCCAGCATGCAAAGGGCCCCAGGGAGCTTATCACCTCCCCCACTGGCCCACACTCTCCTGGGTGACCAAGGGCTGGAACTGACTCCCCTGCCTTCACTCAGAGCTTGCCCCCAGAGTCCAAGGATGAAACTGAAATTGTTCCTTCCTGTGTGATGTCCCCACCACACCGTGATCCCAGAGCACTCTGCCTCATTCTTGGCTGACCCTCCAGCTGACTTCTGGGCTCAGAGTACTTTTCTGTGCCCCGGACGAGTCCTTGCTTCCCTCCTCTGGCTCCGTCCCTGGCCCCCTATCCACCCTGGCCTTCCTCCTCTGCCAGTCAGGCTGGACACCCAGGCCTCACTACTTCTCATCCAGCTTCCGTTTCAGGATCTGTCTTTCCCGTTCCAGGCAGTCTTTCCCCTGAGCATTGAGAGGTCTAGGAATTCGTCTTCCAAGACAGCACCAGCCGACCTTGGGCTCCACAAATGGGCCTAATGAGTGGGCTGGAGACATCACACCAAGCTGGCTGTCTTGTGGCTTCCTGCAGCCTGAAGCTTTGTCCTCAGCCCTCCTTGGGGACAGCCCCAGGCTCCTTAGTTCTCATTCTGGCCTGAGCTAGTGGAGGGGGAAAAGCATCTCCCTTGGGGAAAGGACAAGAGACACAGGTCATGCTGCCTGCTGGACAGATGTTTCTGCTGTACCCAGAAAGCCATGTCCACACTGACCACAAGGAGTGGGTGGGTCAGCCAGTGCCGTGGTTGTCCTCTCACGGGCCACACCCTCCTGGTCCTGGTCCCTCCTCACCATGGGACAGCTGCCCCCAGCAGAGTTTCCAAGGGGAAGGACACCTCCTGTCCTCCAGCCCCTTATGACAACAGAGGGGTGCTTCCCCTGAGGCCCCTGAGCACGTGCCCCTCCTGGGAAGTCAGCCTACACTGGTCACATGCTTGTCCCTAAGAAGTGTCAGGGGAGGAGGCAGACATGACCAGTATAGTAAACAAACCCCACTGAGCAAGGCCTGAGTGTTCAAATGTCACACAAAACCAGCAGCTGGTAACCAAGAAGCAGCAAGTGACTTCTGTGGATTTCCAGAATGTCCAGCCACTCAAAGAAAAGGGATTGTGAAGAAGCAAGTAGAGCCCCAGGTACTGCCCCCAAGCCCTTCAGCTCCCCAGCTTCAATTCAGTTCCCCGCAGCTTCAATTCAGTGTGTGCCACGGCTATGCCAGAACAGCACTCAGGGAGGGTGTGCACGGTGTCAGGATGTGTCACAGCTTGCAGCAGAGGTGAGAGTCAGTAAATAATCTGCTAGTAGACCAGTGGCCTATTAATAAACAGTCCACAAAGCTAAGAATTTATATAAGGTTTATGTCAAACCAAGGCAAGTTAGGAGAAATAAGGTAGGTAGAAAGGGACAAGGAAAATCATAATTTTAAAATTGTGCTTTTAATGAAAATTACAGTTTGGGACACAGACGTAGTCAAAAATTTCTGAGGACCTTAAAGACACAGCACGCCTGGGCCACTCCCTTTCCTTGCAATGAATCTTCTGCCCTGTGAGTAGACCCATCTGTCCACCTGAGACCTGGACCTTTCCTTGTGGACAAGCTGTGTCTGTCAGCTGTGGTGGCTGAGGAAGAGCCACCACCTTGCACCTGCAACCAGATCTCTCCATGGGGCCACACCACCATAGATCTCCACCCTATGAATACCCCAGCCAGAAGCCGGAAGCATCTCTCCCTGAGGCCGAGCTCTGTTTCTCTGAATGTGGATTTTAAATTCTGGCCAATAAACCTCTTTATGTCTCTCACTGATGTGTCCTGAAACTCCTTTTCTGTGATGGAGGTCAGCACACCTGCACCCTGGCCTGGGGATAAGTCAGGCTCCCTTTGTCTTCCTTAGGGACTTCCTGGGACCCCAAGGTCCATACCACAGACCTCACCAGGACAGAGCCATACCGTGTGTGTGTGTGTGTGTGTGTGTGTGTGTGTGTGTGTGGTATGTGTGTGGTGTGTGGTGGGTGTGGGATGTGGCGTGTGTGTGGTGCTGGGAATCTGATGCAGGGTCTCACACATGATAAGCCTGAAGCAAGAGTTTCTAACGCTAACCCTGAAGACCACAGAGCACAGAGGTTCTTGAACTCATTCAAGGGGAAGCAACACAGAGAGGTGGGAGCTGTGAAAGTCAACCAAATCCACCACACGACAACAACTGAAAAAGAAAACTCCTCCTCAGTGAGCGGGTGGCACCCTTGGACAAGAAGAGGAGGATGACGCCTGCTCTGTTACCACCAGGGTGGTGAGCCCGCTCCTTGCCTTGTTGGGCCCATGTGCACAGAGGACAGATTTTGTTGAAGCACCTAACAAAAGGACTAAAGCTTGCTGCCACTGTGTCCACTTCATCCATTAGGCAGGTGGGAACCAAGGATTTAAGAGGGGCCAATTTAGAGGGGCCTGGCGCAGTCCCAAGAATGCTTCACCCTGAGACTCCTCACCCAGCAGCACCTCCATTCATTGTCTCCAGTTACCAAAGTTCCCTGATACCTTTGGTTCCCCAAGGTCACCCTGTCAATTATTGACATAGCAACTTCCGTCAGGAGGAATAGAGGGATTTCCCCTCCTGTGTTGCTGCTCTCTGTTGGGGACGAAGGACAGAATGGTCCCATGTGCTCTGGGCGAAGCCCTGTCACTCAGAATCTGGCTCCACCAGGCTAGAAAAGCTTCAGAGCTGGGCCTCTGGCAGAAGCTGTTTCTGTGAGTGACTTACAGACTCATCCCTCTCCCATCCACATATAACTAGATGGGCACTGGTGGTCTCCTCTGGGTCCCTGGGGCCAGCAGGTATGCAGCCCAGGTGTGACTTTCTGAGTAGCACTGCCTACTAAGAAAGGGCTGGGCTCTTTCCTTCGCCACTCCTTCCTCCCAGCCAGAAATGGTTAATCGCTGGCTCCAGGCTCCTGCAGCCCAGCCCTAATCGACCTGATCTCGCTGCCACTGGGCCAGCAGCTCTGGGCCAGGCTGGAGTATTCTTCTGAGGTAATGATTAAGCTGTGTGCCTGACCAGCCAGGCTCACACCTCCTGGGATGTGGTGGCCAGGACTGGCTGGGAAGGCAGGGCTGCACTCTGGGACCCGCCGGCAGCCACAGCTCCTATCTGCCTGCACACATAGCCATCCCAAGCATCTCTAGGTTGGAGCCCTTGCTGCCTGCCCACTGGACTTGCTGCACCCCCACCATGAAGCTCTGGGTGTTCTGGACCAGGCTGGAGTACACCTGCCAGATCCTGGGCATCACCACCGCCTCAGGTAAGACCCCACCCAGCCAATAGGCCAATGGCTGTTCTCTTACCTTAGCTCCTGCCCAGCACCCTGGGAAGCTCTGCTGCTACAAGGAGCAATGTGGGGCTGTGCTGTGCCTGGCTGCAGCCCACCCTCAGTGCAGCTTCAAGACCCACATCATCCTCAGCTGCAGAGGGGCCGGCTCTGGGTCCCACCACCTAGAGGGTGGGGAGGGGAATTGGGGCCTGGGGTGAAGGTGCAAAGGGCACACATAAGCATCACCCCTGCTTGTATAGCTTTGAAGAGGGCTGAGTAAACTGTTCTTGTCGTAAGGAAGAGGCCCATGGGGAACTAGAACACCAGTTCAGGGGCAGCTCTGCCCTGGGGGCACAGGCTGGGCACACTCCAGAGCTAACCGGAATACCCCAGAGGCAGAACGTCCAGTGGGACTTGACCACAGAGCACCCATGGGCTTCTGGACTGAAGAGGGTCTGGGCTGCAGACAGTTTGCACAGAAAGGCCTTCCCCAAGACAGAGCCCTCTTTGCTGGTCCCCAGGGATAGAATGTGTGCTTGGGACACAAGGAAGCAAAGCAAAGCTTGAAGTCTCTGTCCCTTGGGACCAGGAAGAGACACATGGCCAACACAGTCTCCAAACAGAAGTTTCCTTCGGGAAGTCACCAGTTCAGACACCAACAGCCCCAGTCCCGGCCATGGCCCTGACCTCTGCTGGATGTGCGACCTTAGAGGAACCACTCCCCTGATGCACTTTCTGTCTAGTAGGGTGGACTGTAGCCAGGTGTTTCAGCATATCGAGTATGCAATGCTATGCACAGTTAAGAACTGAGGGTGAGGCCCAGGGACAGGCTCAGAGCTGGGGGAACCTGGGCCAATCCGAGGGCACCTGAATCAGGAGTCAGAGGCAGAACCATAGAGAGGGTCTCACCCCACCCTCCAGGCATGAGGTGGGGCTGCTGAGTTCCAGCAGGAGCCATGACCTTACCCAAGGTTGGGCTGCAGGTCAGATGGACAGTGGGCCTGGAACCCTGGCCCCTGGGCTTTCCATAGCCCTGCCCACATCTTAGGATAGGAAAGTGGGCCTGTGGAGACCCTGAGAGAAGAAGCTGGTGGAGGAGCAGCCCACCTACCTGCCGAGCCACCATGTCACCTATACAGGGGGGTGTCCACCAAGGATCTGCAGGCCAGCCTGGGTACAGGGTGCTAACAGGGTGCTAACTGGGTACAGGATGCTAGCCCACAACAGGGTTAGAGTCCTGCTCTGCCACTGTCACTAGTGTCCACCAGTCACTAGCAACCAGGCCCTGGGCTCCAAACAGGTACGTGGTGTCCCTGCCAGCTGCCAGGAAACCTAACCACAGAGCCAGGCCAGGCCCCTTCCAGGAAGCTGTGTGAGATGTGGGTCTCTGTCCTTCTAATGGATTGGGAAAGACAACCCAAGAGGCAGATTTATTTCAAGCAGTATAAGCATCTGCAGCCCTCCATACAGCTACGCTGCTCTTCCTAACTACAGCTCTATCTCTGTGCCAGCTGCTGGTAATGTGGAGCGGAACCTCACAGCCAGTTTCAAGACCAGATTCAGGCTAAAAATAGGCCCTATCATCATTGCCTTCTAGCAGCCAGGCTTTCAGAGAACCTTACAGGCTCTAGAGTGCTGGGAGCAAGGGGAAGAAGGGCTTTGGTGCCCTCACCGGTTTCAAGTTCCCTCCTGCATACTGGAAACTTGGCCTATTTCCAGTGTATAAGATTTTCAAATTCCTTCCTCCCTTAAGCCTCTTTTTCGCTGAAATCCTCTGCTGGAATGTCCAGGTCTCATGGTCAGGGCACTGCTGCTAAGGAGGAAAGGAGATTTCAAACAAAGCTGGCCGGCACTTTGGGGAAAGCCGGGGGGAGTGGGCCCGAGGTGGCCCCACCTGCTGCAGGAGAGGCTGTGTCCCAGGGGCTCAGAAGCCATTCCACCCAGGGCCCCTGAGTGCCAGCCTCCCCCGGCCCCTGCAAGCAGGACCTGGCTGCCACCAGAGGGCGGGTGCCACTCACCGGGGAGCCCCTGTCCCCAGCCTCTCAGGATGATGCTCCTTAGGGTATACAGTGACCCATGGGCATTGCTGCCCATGCTGAGGTCCAGCCCACACCTCACATGCTTCTGGGGCATAGATAGGGCAGCGCCAGTGCCAAACCAGGGCTAGCAGGTGTGGGGTGGACTGTGCCCAGGCAGGGTTGTAAAGTCAGGAAATTCTGTGGCTTGGAGCAGTTACCACACTTACAGGAGGTCACTGACCCACCCTGCCTATCCACACTGGGCTCTGTGGCATCCCTCCCTGGCCTGGGCAGGCATTGGGTACATGTCTATGTGTGTGTGCACACCTATGTGTGTGACCTCTGGGTGTCCCTGTTGCTGAGATGTGGCCCAGCACCACCCAAGAAGCCACCACCCTGAGGAGCGGCACTCGGAATGACTTCCTGCTGTGGGTGCTACTGCCTGTCACTCTCATGGTGGGTGCCCAGGCACACCCCACAGAAGGCACAGACACCAAGACAGAACACGCTCAGCCTGTGCAGTTCTGCCTGGGACTGGTCTGGCTGCAGACTGACAGGACAGGGACCTGGGACACAGGTTTAACTGCTGGGCATGGTGGCCCTGGGCCTCCTTCTCCATCACATGGGCAAGGCCTGTACAGCAGGATGAGTCCATGCTCAGACTTCTCCCTCTATGAGGTTTTTTTCCTCCCTCTGTGGTACTGGAACTTTCACTGAGCTACATCCCTAGCCTTTTTTAAGATTTTTAAATTTTGATCCAGGGTCTTACTAAGCCCCTAAGTTGTCTGAGCTGAGCTTGAACTTGTGATCCTCCTGCCTCAGCCTCTCAGAGTGCTGGAATTGCAGACCTGTGCCAACTTGTCCAGCTTCAGGGGCTTTGTTTCATTCTTCCCATTCTTTCTGGCTCTGGCAGCTGGTAACAGCAGTGTGGTCCTACGTCTTTCCCGGGGGCCATGCTCTGTGCAGTGGCTTTAAACACAGGCTCTGTCTCTCCCTTAAGGCAGTGTCCTGTGCACACTCATCCCTGCTGCCCAGAGGAAAACTGAGGTTGGGAAAGTAGCACACAAGGCTCAAGTTCTCGAGACAGGGAGCAAGGAGGCAAGAGCCTCACACATCTCTAGAAGGGACATTCCTAGGCCAGTTGCAGACAGCATCAGAGTCATCATCTTGCCACAACACATCGATGCCTGCTGTGCGGAGCACAAGCCCATTTTACATCTGGAGAGACTGAGGCTCTGGATGCTTGGGGCTTGGCAGAGGTCAGTCCCATGGTCAGTCGCAAGTCAGGTGTGGGGACTCCAGGCTGACTCACCCCATGGGAGCAACACAGGGGCTCTCAAGGAGGAGCCCAGGTAGAAGGACATTTGTAGCAGCCCCTCCAGTGAGTACAGGGCTCAGGCTCAGCTGGGACCACTTAGGATTGTTTTGTTCCAGGGTTTGACCTATGAACCCAACTCTCCACAGGACCAAGGCGGCTGAATTCTCCACAGCCCCACATGCAGTGCTGATTAATATAGATGAGGGTGAAAGCAGCACCCACAGCCAGGGCCCTCATTTGCTGAAGGGCACAGCAAATGCATGGCCCGACCTTGGCCCTGTTCAAAGCCTTCCAGAAAACAGTTGCTTCCAAAGGAATGATCTTGGACCCTGCATGCTAATTCCCCCACACACGCATAGAGCCAGGGACCACCTCCTAAACAACATCACCTGCCTGCCTGGGACCCATCCCCTGTGGAGACCGTGCCACTTTTGCTGTGTTTCCAATTTTCTGGTGACGGCGGCTGTTTGTCTTTCCTGATCTGAGGGACTGGATGAGTAAACAAAATTTCCCTCCCTCCCGCTGAGAGCAGCATTCCTTCCCTTCCTTCTCATGTTCAGAACACAAATCTAGAGCTTGCTTCCAACTCAATGAGTGGGCGAGCACTTGCTGGTCTCTGTATCATGGATGTTCGGCAGGACTTCAGCCTCAGGGTCTGCGCCAAGTGATCAGGGAGCCAACCTGAGGACCAAATAGCCCAGCCACCATCCTATAAGTGTGCCCTCCCAACTCAATGTGTGACCCTGTGCGTGTCACCTGAATTCTGTAAGCTTCGATTTCCTGTCCACAGTGTCCACAGGTACAACTGTAGGGTCCAACCACATAGTGGGTCAGCTATCAATGGCCCACAGTCCCCACTCCATTCATGTCAATGCCAGAGGTGTACATGGGACACAGGGAATGTACAGGATGAATGAGACCAGAGGGAGGGAACCAGGCAGCACAGGCTGGGAGGCTGAGAAGGGGCAGGAGCCAGGCTGCAAGAGGCCTCCGAAATTCATATTTTGGAGTCCCTGTAAGAGAGGCCTTCAAGCATCCCCCAGAGTCACAGTGCGAACCCAGTATTCTGTGAGCAAGTGGACCTCAGGAGACACAGGAGTGGGCACCTGATTCTGGACCTCTCAGCCTCCAAGATGATGAGAACTAAATGTCTGTAGTCTGTAAACCATTCAGTCTGTGGTATTTTGTTAGCAGACAAAAGGACTAAGCCACCATATTAGCAAACTAAACAAGAAAGGCTGTTATCACCTTAGTGGTACAGAGGAAGCTTTTGCCCAGATCCAATATTCTTTCATGATAAAAATATCAGCAAGCTAGCAATTGGGGGAAACTTCCTCAGTCTAAAAAAAGAATCTGTGTCTTAGCCACTTTCCTCTTCACTGGGAAAAAACACGCGATACCCACAACTTAAAGGAGGAAGGGTTCATTTTGGCTCATGCTTCAGTCCATGCTCCACGGCCCCCAGGAAAAAACGGCATGGTGGAAGGGCCTGGTGGAGGGGCCTGGCGGAGGAGAAGCTGTTCACTTCACAGTGGACAGGAAGCAGAGTGCAGGGAGGAGCAGGGAAGGCAGACAGACCGTTCCAGGTCACACCCACAGTGACCTGCCTCCTAGGACCAGACTTGGCTTCCTAACAGTAAGTCAGCTATAGTGCC